TTGTAGACCATTTTGGATTAGTGCTGGAATTTATTTGCAACTTTTAGCCGAATATAAAAAGAATTTTTTTTACAAAAAACATTGTATATGTGTGCTATGTCATATTCATATTCATATGTGTTTATATTACTTTAACGAAAAACGTCTTTGCCATACAATTTTTTTATCTTTTTGAATAAAATTGTATAACATGTAAATGTAAGCCAGTCTTTTTTTTTAATTGTCCTAGGCTGCATTACTCTGATGACCCCGTGTATCATCCTTGTTTAATATTAGGTGAAAAACAAGGGTAAAACGATACATGAAAGCAGTTGGATAACGTTTCTGAATACAGCCCTAATGGTATCAATACTACTAGTAAAATTTCCGATGAAAAAAGTAACTTAAAAGTAACTTAAAGTTACTTTTTCAATAACTGTAACTGTAACAAATTACTTTTCAAAGTCAACAACTTGTAACGGTAATTAATTACTTTTTGAAACAGAAAAACTGTAACTGTAATTAATTACTTTTACAAAGTAACTTTCCCATCCCTGATAAATACATACAGGATCATAAATACATAGACTTATATACTTACGTTCAGAGAGAGTTTTCCGCATTCCGACAATTTTATTGCACTGCACCTTTAACTCGATCTACTTGGACGCTTCAAAGTCTCGATGTAATTTGACGAGTGGACACTTTCAGCAAAGCCAAGCTGATTTAAATCCAGTCACAGCGACCGACGTTGAGAAATCGGTAAGTTGTTTATATTGTGCAATTCAAATGTGTCACACTTTCGCAAGTTAAATGTGAATTTACTCGATAGAGACATTACACACCCTTAAAGTATTTATCTAACTTATCTTATAGTACGCTGATAGTTTCTTTATCGAATCTGTTCACTGGAACAAGACTATTTCTTTTTACATCACATCTAATTAAGTCGCATGCAATTTAATACGTTATAACAAACGTTTGATTATTTTACGAGATCTTTTACCCGTGACATTTATTTTTTAGACAAATATAGAGCGGGTTTCCTGACTGACGCAATTCAAAGTCTATCGAAACACGCCACTGCAATTCTCGAAGTATCGAAACAATCATTGCGACAATCGACGGCCATTGCAATATTCGATAAAGAAAGAGAGGTCTTCATTGATCATTCACAAAAATAAAACGCAGGCACGTTTAACAACGGTCTCGGACTTCTCTCTGATTGATAAAATCATTGAAATAAGATTTATAGTATTTTACGATTAAAAATAACGAATTAATAACGATAATCCATTTAATGTTGTGCCATTCGTTATTCTTCTGCCTTTTTTATCCTGAATTATACTGTATGCATTCATTAAAGTACTTTGAGGTTAAGTCTCTCGTCTTGATTGCTTGAATTGGGAACATTGCGGATTGTACGAAACTAAGGCAAGTTTCAAAGAAATAATGTCGGCCGTAAAGTCTGAAGTAAAGAATTGGAAGGAGCACAATCGTAAACGGAAGGAATTTCGAAAACAATGGAAGAAGGAAAAATTTACAAAGAAGATGAAGGCAGAACTCGAAAAAGAATCAAAAAATAAGACGCAGGAATATACAGAAGAAGGTAATACAAAGTACGAGCGGAGGGACATCTGTACTGTCAGCATAGCGGTACCTGGGTCAATCCTTGACAATGCGCAATCCCCAGAACTACGTACCTACTTGGCAGGACAGATTGCACGTGCTGCATGCATCTACAAGATAGACGAGATCGTGGTATTTGATGACAAGGGCGAGATCACGGAGGATGAGAAGCAGAAGATCAAGAAGGACAATATGCTGGATGAGGCCAGACTTGGGTGTCTACAACTAGCCAGGATACTACAATATCTTGAGTGTCCACAATATCTGAGAAAGTACTTCTTTCCAATCCACAAGGATTTGCAGTATGCGGGTGTGCTAAATCCATTGGATGCACCACATCATCTAAGACAGGAAGATGAATTTTTATATCGAGAAGGTATAGTTACCAATAAGCCCATAAAAGTTGGCCGAGGTTCCCAAGTGAATGTAGGATTGTTAAATGAGGTTCATGTAGATAAGGTGCTGATGGCTGGCTTAAGGGTAACAGTGAAAATACCACCTGATCAGCCAAATCGGAAAAAAATGAAAGGTATTATTGTACCGCCTAACATGCCACGTGCAGAGACTGGTATCTATTGGGGCTACAATGTCAGACTAGCCAAAAATTTAACAGAGGTGTTGACAAATTGTGAATATAAAGAAGGATATGATTTGATGATTGGAACATCTGATAAAGGAACATCGATCGACGAGATAAAAGCAAAGAGTTTAGAGTATCATCACTGTCTGATAGTATTTGGAGGTCTCGCTGGATTAGAAGCTGCCATAGATGTGGATCCAAATTTAAATATTGACGATTCGTCTCTAGTCTTTGATAAATATATAAATACGTGCCCACAGCAAGGCTCACGAACAATTAGAACGGAAGAAGCTATTCTCTTGACTTTAACTGAATTGAGAACTAAATTAGTAGCTAAAAAAATCTTAGAAAAATAATAGTTGCATAAATTGTAGAAATAATCAAATAAAATAAATACATTTGTCTGTTCTAAAGTCATATTGAATTTTATCACATTAATTGATACTTTATCAAAAATACAAATCTTTGTACATATATATTATATATATATATATATACATATAAAATGCCAAATTTATCGCAGAAATGCTTTGTATATTTACAGTATCCTCAGTTGTCACCGCTGTGTTGAATGATTGTGTCCCAAATAGCAATTTACTGTGTCTCTAAGTATCGTTATTACTTTAGCTTGATCAGCAGAATTTATAACAGACGTGCCAGACACGATCATATTGGCACCAGCCTAAAAAGTAATATTAACATGAAAATGATTAATGATTCATAGCAAATTCAATCACACTAGATTAGTATACATTAAAAGTTGCTGTACATAAAATTAATAAATTTAATTGTAAAAATTCAAATATTTTATATGATGAAATAATGATTGTTACATTAACAGAAAATATATTATTTCATTGTCAAGGTTGATTATATTATGCCATTTTAGACTATATAAAATAGTCTTTTTAATGTGCATTAATCTAGTGTAGTACGAATGAACTGAGATCAGTATTATAATTTTACATGTGCCAATGTCTGATTGAATTATTTATATATTGCAGTAATCTTTGACAAATTACACCTTTGCACAAGCTTCAATTGTAGCTAGTCCAACTCCACCGTCAACTTCGATATCTAGTTCAGGATAGTTCTTCCTTAACCATGCAACTTTCTTTAACATTGGTTCCATAAATTTCTGTCCACCGAAACCAGGTTCCACAGTCATCACTAAAATCATATCTGCTAAATCCACGTAATCTGTCACTACTTCCACAGGTGTTCCTGGCTTAAGTGCCACACCAACCTGTTTTTTAATTAATTCTATCAATTGTAATATTAACAAATATTAATTTTTGTAAAGCGTACCAACCTTCATTCCTGCTTCCTTCACTTTCCTGCAAACTAAAGGAACATCCTCTACTGGCTCCACGTGGAATGTATACTGATCTACACCAGCGTCGGCTATAGGTTCGATCCACTATAATTATTTCAATAACTATAAAATGGAATTTACTTTGGCCAAAATTTTAATAATGTCCACACAGCACGTATGTCAAAATCTTAACATAATACAGTTTTAAAAGTATGATGTTTTGAGATGTCCTATGTCCTGATTTTGGATATATATACTATTTAGGTATTTTTAAAAATTTTGGCTGAATTCAAGTTACTTCATTTTACAGTAAATTATTAGGCCTGTATTTTTAAAACGTGCTTACAATGTTAGCGCATTAACATGTTATAGTTTATGACTTACGTTATGCATACTATAGAATTTCAGAGATAAAAGTGTGCTTTTATACATAAAAATGCATTCTGAATTTATAAAATTTACGATCCTTAATTTATAAAATTTAAAACATATTAGCTTGCAGTTTCTGATAAGGAAAATCCTGTTTAACTTTCGCGTACACTTGGGGTGCTTTTTTGTTATCCTACCAGAAGCTACAGTTAAGGTCATCTTTGTCTTCAGAAATCAAAAGACGAAGATAGCCTTAGCCATGGTTGCTTCCGGTTGCATAACAAAAAAACGCCAAAATTCTCTCTTGAGAGCGATTGTGGCAGAGTAGACAGCACACTGGTTCTGCTATACTAGAGATGCCTGGTTTGATTTCCAGTAAAACCAAAATATTTTCATACGCTCGTTATCCTCTCGGAAGGAAGCAGCAACCCACCGAGAGTATTCTTACTAAGAACACTTCTCTAAACAAAAACTTCGTCATTCGGAATCGATGTTAAACTGTAGATCCCATATAAACTGTGTACAACCAGCGTGCATACTACAGGCATATGAATATGAGAGAAGTCACTACGCCTAGACACGAGCAACAGGATTAAAAAAGAGAGATACCTGCTCCGGTTTGGATACCATCATATGTGTCTCGAAGAAAACATCTTTTATTTTATTACGAAGACACTTGACGATCGGATGACCAAACGTTAGATTTGGAACAAAATGACCGTCCATCACGTCTAGGTGCAAATAATCCGCGCCATTATCCAATAATTTTTGCGACTCTTCATAAATTTGCGCCAGGTCACAGTTTAAAATCGACGGGCCAATTCTTGCGCTCAAATTCTTCGCCATGCCGTCCGGAATGTATCAACGTGCGCGGATGAGAATCTCTCGCGAAGTTACTCCCGAAAAAATATACGTAAACACGTGCGTTGTTCTACACGCAGATAAATTAGAATATAAAGGCCCGTCTACAATACACGGAGTAAGAAGTAAGAGTAAGAAATTGACCAATCACAG